ATATTAAATAAAATAAAAAATTGTTTTCTGTGAAACGCTGTAGCATTATCTGTAAAGCCAGTATAATAAATCCTGATATTAGAAGATACGTACTTGTAGACGAAAATTTATATTTTATAAGCAGTATGTCTTGAAAATAGGAAATGTACAACAAAAGAGATGAATAGGAAATAGAAATAAGCAGATGTTAGCGTCTGTAACAGAACAGTGAGAAATCGTTTGAAGGAAATGGGATTTTCATATACAAAAGCAAGACGAAAACTAGCATTGACACAAAAACATAAGAAAGCAAGGTTACAATGGGGCAAAGCAAAGAAATCTTGGTGTAGATGATTGGATGAAAGTGATATTTAGTGATGAGTCATCAGAATTTGCATTGGTCTTGAAAGATGATTCTGGAACTTTTGTCTGGTTCAACAGACCATTCAGGTTTATTGTTGTAATTATCTACATGCATTGTACTGTACATTATATACTGTTATCTGGCAATAAAATTTCATTCAATTACAGCATCTTCATTACAGTTCTCTCCAGACAACACCAAATGCTTAGGCTAGTTTACTATAAAACTTAAATGCCTTTGTTAATTTTTTTTACTATTCTGTAAAAATTCTACACTAATATTAAATCATAATTATTACATTATTTTTGAATTTTTTAAAATTAAAATCAATTTTGATCTTATGCTAATGAAATAAAATTTTAATGATTCATTATGAAATAATTTTAAATATATTTAAGATACACTATTTAATATTTTTTTTTACTGTTTATATGATGTTGAAAAATTTTTTGCTATAATATTGTGAATGTCCGAACATTTTTTTTAAAAATTAAATTATAAATAATACAAATAAGAACATAAGGGTACAAGATGCACAGAAGAAAACTGGCTTTTATTTAGCATATTTTCAAACAAGTTCATAAACTTTTGTTTTAATAATCTTTGATTAATGTAAATATAAAAATTATTATAAAATTTGATTATAAACTAAAATTAAAAAAATATAAACTTGTAGTTTTATCTGAAAATTTAGTTAATGATATATTTTCATTGCATTTTAAATAACAAACTGAATTAAGTTTTATATTTCAAATAAAATGAATAGAATATAGCCTACATGAAATGCACTTTAAATACTTAAATATAATATCTTTAAAAGGTCTTAAAAGTTTAAATTTATAAAAGTTTTTCAAATTCATAAATTTATAAGTTAGGAAGGACTATCAACAATTTATTTTTATTTTTTACTTGGCAAATTTTGAGTTACAGATGTGAAAATATGACTTTTAGAAAAATAAATCATTTCATATTTATACACTTTTGAAACTTTTGATAATATACCAAAAATTTCAAAAAAACAAATACGAAGATATGTAAAACATGAAATTCGTAGGCTTGCCATGGAGTTATGTTTAGGAAATTGGTTTAAAACCTAATTTTTTTTAAACTCTCCGCCCTTTGGACACTAAGAGAGCCTTTTTATCAAGTATATTGTGGATTAGACCAGTCCCATAGTAGGGCGACTAAGTGGTGAGGGACGGGTCCGACATGTCCGTTATAGATCTTTCCCGAAAAATTCCTAGGATTTTTCAATCGTCCTGATCCCCAGAACGATATGCCGAAACCTTAACCTCTTAACCGGCGTAGGTTATTAGATGTTATTCTTATCTCTTCAATGTTTAATTTATATTTTTATCATTAAATTACAGACTATCGAATAATAGTCATACTTATTGAAATAAACGTGAAAAGGTTTGTGTAATATTGCAAAACTTTTTCTCCCTGTTAATTTCTAATTTAAGAAATTTCATTTATAAATTGTATCATGTTTTAAAATATGTAGTTTTAAAATATTCTGACAAAAATAAACTAAATGTTATAATATTATAATTTGAAACTTTTTAATTTGATTAATCATTTCTGAATAGAAAATTAAATCATAATATTTATTTAACGCAGAACAGAAACAGTGTCGTTGAAAATTGAGAGGAAACAGAATTATAGATTCACTAATATTGCCTTTGGTTGATATTTACCATGCAGATCTCTGAGTGTTTAGGAATTGCAAGTTAAAGAGTTATTTTAATATCAATCTTTAGTGTTAACAATACGAACTTCGCTTACATCAGTGATGTTAAATTAGCAATTTAATTATGAAAAAGTGTTTATTAATCTATGAGACAACTACTCAGATTAATTCAGATATTCCATGATTTGTTTGATAACTCTCAGAGATAGAAAATTAAATTCTTGAGTCTATCAAGTGTTAAATTCTTAATGTAACTTTAATTTTTCATTAACTAAGTAACACAAATCTCTTTCTAATTAGAACGAACTGTAATTAAAACAACTTAGATCGGAAATCGTAGCATTAGTTCATTTTTCATTAAGTTTATATTTGAGAATCATGAAAACGATAAGAAGTAGGCTATTTTTATAAGTCTAAAACTTCACAAGAAAATACCTGACAAATTATCCAGAAATTCGTTATATAAAAAATGTAATATATAGTAATATTTGATTTTATTTCATTTTCTACGTCTTATATAAGATATTGGAAGGACTGCTCTAATATTACATTATTATAGTATATTTTTTATACATTAAATAATTAAAGAAATTAAATGTGATAAATTTCAAAAAGTATTAGAATGGTTAGTACAATCATATTGAGTTTTCATATTCAATATTCAATCTTGGTATTCGGGTATATTCAGCTACAAAGTAAGTATTCGGAATATGGCCGAATACCAAACACACGTGTTGGAGGATAGTCTGACCTTCCTCAAAGCCGAATTATTCGGCCGAATAATGTCACTTTAGTTAGGGAAGAGAAAGGGAAAAAGAAACGAAAGGAAAAAAAATAAAACACAATATCTCATGTCTAAAAATATTGTCATTTATTCCTTTCCGAACAAATATAATTTTATACATGATCTTACGCAAATATTTATTAATAATCACAATTCAAGAATAAATTGTAATAAAGAAACATTAGTGCTTCTTTATCCATAGGAAGTAAGCAATTTTTTTGGTCGTCATATATACTTTCAGCTTTTCTGAAGATACGTATAATTAGTGACATAAGTGGTTTCACTAAACATAGTACTTTATGGGTTGCCAAAAAACGACGGATCTCAATGGAAACATTTAATTTTTTACTTTTCGTTACATAATAATCATTTTTTTAAAATAAATACTCTATTTAATCTAGTCTTTATTATTAAGTAGAAGAAGCGGCTCTCCACCTTATTTTAAGGCTTAGAATCTAAGCCTGTCTTAGGCAGTTCCAAGTAAATCAAATGATATTCGATAATCAGAAAGGCAAGAATGTTCGCTATTTGGCCAGTAACTCCTATTTGGTCCTTACCCTAATTTTTTAAAAATACATTACTATAGTAAAAGTTTAATTATCGTGTTTTTATAGTGCTTAATATAGGCTACCATTAACGTGAAAACGCAACTGAAAGCTTATACAGTGGATGATCAGTTAACGAACAGCTCGGTTAACGAACAAATCAGATAACGAACATTTTCGAGAAAGATTTTTATGATCGGACAACGAACACATGTTCGGATAATGAACACTTTACTGAACAAACATAAAATGAAACGATGGAAAATAACGAATACTGATTGATTTTCCCTTGTCTTCAGGTAACAATTCGAAACCTTTCGAAGCGCGGAAGACGGCAACATCGACGGTCAACCCGATACCAATCGGATAGTATTAACATTCCTCAGAATTTTGAAACTCTTCCTTGTAATTCCAGCTTTTCGTTTACCTTTCTGACAAATAATTTTTTATAGTCTTCTCGAGATTGTCGAACGGGCACTTGTTAAGTTTTGCGTCGGGGTTTATTTACGAAAGGTGAAAGTTTAACTGTCCCATCAGATATTCGTTAACGTTTTAGTACCAAATTTCAAATTTCATCCGAGCCTTGTATTTAAATAATTTTTGTCGGCTAGTTGATTTCTGTTCTCTGAATTTTTGTAAGTGTTTTTCTGAACTTTTTATTTAAAAAAGGAACTGATAATATTATGGAACCTAAAAAGAGGAGTGTCAAGAACTGTGCTCACCGTAGAAACCAAGTAAGAGATAATAGCCAAGGTAGAAAGTGGGCACAAGCTGTCTGATGTTGCTAGGCAGTATGGCTTGAACAGATCTACAATAAGCATAATCTTAGCCGTGAAAATATATCAAGAAGTCTCAAGGTGCTAATGGAAGTAAAGAAAATCACATCTGAGAAATAAAGAGCATTTTAGAGCTCATAATGGAACCTGAAACTGATCTGACGACAGAAGAACTCCAAGAACTCTCAAATGAAGAATACCAAGAAACTCAGCGAGATGTGCTTTCTTTTGAAAAAGAGGAAGGCGAAAGAGGACCAATGTCGACATCTGCTACTAAAGATCTTTTGAAGTGGGAGGATGTCAGAACAACGGTCTTAGAATGGCATCCAAACCAGATTGAGGTTAATAGGCTTAGGGATCTCTACAAATACAATGCTATTAATTACTTCTGAAAAATCATGAAGAAGAGAGAAAAGCAACCAACATTAGACAGTTTCTCTAAACCCACAAACGGAAAAAAACATGACTAATAAAAATGCAAGACTGCATATACTGTATATGTATTTTTACTATTACATATAAATAAACATAGTCTATCTATCCAGTGGCATCCTCTCTACAGAGGGTTGCATTTGATGAACTATTCCTCTCCATGTTTTTCTATTCCAGGCTTCTCTTAAATCCTTTCCAGTCCAGTCTTTGATGTTATCTCTCCAAGTCTTTCGGGGTCTTCCTCTAGATCTTGTCCCCTCCACCAGTCCCTCAATGACCGTTTTTAGTAGTTGTCCTCCTGATCCTCTAGCCAAATGTCCAGCATATCGTACCTTTCTTTGTTGGATATTTATAAGCAACCTTCTCCTCAAGCCCAGCCTGTCCAAAACTTCCTCATTTGTTATTTTCTCCGTCCAACTTANATCCCAGATTATTTGGGGTCAGCCCGGAATGTCAATTTGCGCCACGTTGGTCTATCTCTAACTGTTTCTTCATCCACTCCCCAGTCCACTTTCTCCATATCTGTTTTTACACACTCAATCCACCTCTTCTTAGGTCTTCCTCTACCTCTATCTCCCTGTACTTTCATATTACATGCCTTTTTTGTTACATGTTCCTCATTCCTTCTCACCACATGTCCAAACCATGTCAGTCTATGGCTTTTTATTTTTTTCTGAGATAGATGCTACCTTTAGACTTCCTCTAATGTAGTCATTTCTAATCCAATCCATCCTTGTGACCCCGCACATTCACCTCAGCATACGCATCTCTGCCACATGCAATCGCTTCTCTTCGGTGGCTGTCGTTGGCCAGCACTCGCACCCATACATAAGCACGGGTCTAATGACAGTTTTATATATTAGCCCTCTTACTTTAAGTGGTATGCGTTTGTCACAAGTTATTCCTGTCACCTGTTTCCACTTTAACCACCCTGCATTGATCCTTCTAGTAATCTTCTTATCAATGTTGCCATCTTTCTGCAACAGAGATCCTAGATAGCGGAATTCAGTACTTTCTGGCAATGGTATTCCATTTAGTGTTAATGAACCAGTACCAGGGAGACCGTCAAGATTACAGAACATATACTCCGTCTTGATTTGGCTGATTTTTAGTCCCTCATTTTCCAGCACGTGTTGCCATTTGTTTAGCCGTATATATATATATATATTATATTTATTTATTTTAATGACATCTCTCTATTGTGAGTAGACCTATCAGGGAAGTGGATAAAAGCACTGAACACTGTAGTTGGTCGCGGGTTCGAAACTCACCAACAGGCTGGTCACCTTTTCTGTGTTTTCTTCACATGTGTAATACCTAAATGTGGGCCGTTTCCCATTAGAAAGTCTTTCCGGGAGGCGTCCTCCAAGGAAATTTGCATTGCTTGATTTGCATTGCTGTACTTCATCAAACAAAACCAATGTGAATCAAAAAGATAATTTTCATAAATTTTCATGGATATTTTAAGCCTGAATCGAGTTTTCATATAAATTAGTTCCTAGGGTGATAACATCGCGAAAGAAATCGAATTCAAATGTGTTTTAATATTATTAATTTTTAGAAATCTATTTTTTTCTATTTTTAATATTTCAGTTTTTAATTCATATAAAGAAATTCAATTTTCAGATTTAATTAAATCGATTTTTTCAAAACAAAGTCAATTGCAAGTTTCTGTTTATTTAACAACAAACAAAAATATATATATTTTTTTTCTTTTCAAAATGAAGTTTTATAAACCTGTTTCTTATTTATTCAATAAATTTCTTTCTTCTATCGTTATCATTGTCGATATCGAAAAAATTTTGAAGTATACTTACCATCTTTCCGAGCAATATTATTTAGGTTTTGTTAAAAATAAAGTTAAAAGCTACATTTTTAAACGCCTACTTACAATGCCGGATACTTTTCTACTTATCAATAAGTTTACTTTATCTAATGCAAAAACAAACTTTATTTATACATTATACATTATATACATTATATATATTAAATTATGACCTTTACACAATATATTTTGATTTTTTATATGTCTTTTAACATTAAATTTATAAATTTGTGGTAAGCATTATTTCAAAATATATTTTTAAAAGTGAATATTTAACATTCAAAGATTGCTTTCATATAATTTCTTTAATGTAATAATTAAATATTTTGAAAGAAAACAATATTCTATTCATACTCGAGCATCCCAGTTTATAGATGAATGTTTACAGTGATCCAACTTAAATATGTTTAGTATTTGATTAACAGAAAAAAATTTTCATGTTTACTAAAATATTAAATTTATTTATATATTCGACTGAAGTATTAGGTTAATATTGGAAGTAAATTTAATAGTAAGAGAATATATTATTTCATATTTTTATGAAAATTCTTCACATAATAAAGTATTTAAATTCAAGTTAAATTTCTATGCTTCGGATAATATCAAAGAAATGAAGAGCAATATAACATTAAATTGTTTTCTGAGAGGTTCTTGACCCCTGGTGAACATCGGATTGAAAGGACATAACAAATTTGTTTATATGCCTACAAACTCCCTTTTGGTGGTTACAAAAGCAAGAATATTGCTGATGTTAGGTTTGTATTAAATAAAATTATAGTATTGACATGTAAAACAATCACTCGTTTATTTAGGCAAATTTTAGGTGCCGTTTTTGCTTGTAAATACAGGGTGTCCGCATTGAGACTGGAAAATTTTGAAAGGATATAAGTAAAATTAAATAATAGCTACAGTAAAAGTAAAGTGTACAATTTAAAGACCAACTCACCAAGTTTATTGTAAAAATTAGCTTTGTTTTACTTTTACTCCCTTTTACCAAAGTTATAAAATTTCTACATGTGCTCCTGTTTCAAGGAGAATATTTCTGCCATGTTTTCTTCAACATCTGCGGCCTAACAGAAGCAACGGCGTCTTGTATGCGCATACGAAGTTCATAGCGTTCATTAATTTTGGTGCCAGTATAAACATGTCCTTCAAATATCGCAGAAGAAGAATTGTAGGTACGTAATATCAGGAATCGCGGGGTGGGTGCACGGAGCTCCGAAATTAATTCATTCGCACGCCTCAATTAATTCTAGGAAAACGTATTTAGTTGCTATTCCTCATACAATACGTAAATGCATTAATTTATGCACTGAATTTTGGCAGCGATTTGAAATGTACCATACTCAATTTGGATATCCTGTACTAAAATATTATTATATATGTACCATTATATTATACTATGTAATAGTTACATAGTACAATAATACATGTAATACTTACATAAAATGACTATTTAAGCACAATTTCAATTTATAGTTAATTGGGAACTGCTTAACTCTTAAGCGTTAGACATTTCCCAGAGTTAATTATTTTAAATTTTAAAAGTTGTATCGAAATGGCCTGGCGGACAACTCGTCAAAGGCAACCAATGTAAATCAAAATATTGTATATTAAGGCTCTGGGATAAATATTGTAATATCTATCCCAGAGCCTTTCGCTCTGGGATAGATATTACAATATTCGAGATCATGGTCAATTTTTTCGTATTTGAATACTGGTATTTGTCGACAAATATCGGCATTACACTACTAAACTTTATTCTACCTCTAATTTGAATTATCCATCAGTGAACGAGTGGGTAAAACAATTAAAAACTATTAGTTGTTCGCGCATCACCGTAGGCTGGCCATGTAAAGTTTCCCGTGATTTTTTTTGATTTGTCTAACACCTAAATAGAGGCCAGTTTCCCTTTTTAAGTGCCTAAGCGTTATGTTGTCTTTCGTCAATACAATCTAATCCAATCTCAACGTGTTAGAAAAAAATACATTCTTTGACAAAATATTGGCGCACCAAGAGAGACAAAATTTGGTACGTTTATAGTATATGCACAGAAAATGAAGTGATTACAGTTTCAGAGCAGTTGGATAATTTATTCCAAAAAAAGAGCTACACAAGAAGTCAGTAAGACGTTTGACCCACCTCTTGGCTGAATATATGCTGTTATCTGGCGTGGATTGATTCATAAAGTTGACGGATAGTGTCCTGAGGGATTTCTTGCCAAACAACATTTAATTGATGGCTCAAATGGTCGTAGGAGACGCCCCATCAGCTTCCAAATGTGCTCAATTGAAGAGAAATCTAACAGTCTGGCTGATAAAAAAAAGGATGTCGCAACCAGGAAAACATTCAAATGAGAGGCGTTCCATGTGTGACCGGACACTGTCTTATTGGAAAGTATGCCTGGCTGCTGCAAAAGGAACGGTATCACAATAGGTCTCAGAATTTATTATTGTTTGTTTCGTGTCTAGTAAAATCCTCTATCGATTTCAATAAAGTATATTATAAGGAGTAAAAGTGGTCTTCTGTGTCTAACCATTGTGACGAATCTAGTTTTAAAAAATTAGATAGAATAGCCAATTACGAAAAAATGATAAGAGGTCTCAGAATGTCGTCAATGTATCGCTATGCTGTGAGGGCGCCAAAGACTACCACTAAGGGAGTCCTGCTATAGAGAAAAATGGCGCACCAAACCATAACTCCCTATTGACGGGCAGCGTGGCGTTCGACATTAAAATTGGTATTCCGGCAATGGCCAACATGAATTCATGCACATCTGCACTGTTTGTCGGACCTGGTTCAAAGCGAGACTTGTCACTGAAGACGATTCGTCTCTAATCAGAACAGTTCCATGTTAATTGAACCCAGCATCACTACAATCGTTGTTGACGATGCCTACGGTCACTGTTTATTACTCCGGCTGCCACTGATCCAGTGGCAGCCGGTGTAATGAACATTGTGATCGTAGATTCTGCTGGTGTAGTCGTTTAGCAATAGTCCTGGTGGTTACTTCGGCATTGATATCACACGTTGGATGATCGATAGGGACGACTCTGATGCTGTTACAGCTGTCCGAACAATCGCTCTGTTCCCGTTTCTTATTCCATCGTCACTCTAAACCAGGGGTCTTCAACCTATTACACTTTTAGGAACCCTTCGAGCTCATGGCTTTCTTGAAAGAACCTCATGTTTAAGTAGCAGATAAAATAGTTTATCAAAGCTTTTTTATACTCAAATTTGCGAAATTATTCTTGTATGTTTGTATTAAGATTAAATAATTTGCGAAATTATTTAATCTTAATACAAACATCTTAATAAGACAATGAATAGTGAGGTAGCGAATCAGGTTTTACTTTATTTATTTTCTAGAATACATTTTATGAATAATTAACAAAAGGAACAATATTTTATATTATAACAAATTAATAAAAAAAATTATTTTAATGACTTGACTGCGCTGTTTTTTACCGCAAAGCATTTTTTCATCGAGAATAATTGTTGAAATCTGCAACCTAATGTCATCTTCAGTATACAATCTGTTTCTGTATTTTGTTTTTGTGGCAGCATACAAAGAGAAAGATTTTTTCATATATAGATTGATACAAATGACATTAGATGTTTCACAGCTCTTTTGGCAATTTCAGGATATTCATTCTAAATGTCAATCCAAAAATGCATAATATCAATTTGATTAAATTTTAGTTTTAATTTAGTATCGGTAGATATATCAGTTTGTCGTTCTTTTTCTTTTACTGGGAGTTCGGAGGTGTCACAGTCTCGAAAAGGATTTTGGAATCCGAGATAATTTTTTTTTTTTTGAATAGGAAACATTCACGAAATGTTTTTGCAGATCGTATAAATGTTGAACCAAATTATTTTTTTCGAGATTAGCGTTACTGTCTACTAAAATATTGTGCAAATTAGGAAAGCATTCAATATTTCCTTTCAAAATGCAATCTCCTCAAAATTTCAATTTTAAAAGAGTAGCGTCAATTTTATTTTGTACCTTGAAAATATTGATATTTGTTCCTTGGAGCAATGTGTTGAACTCATTTAAACAGGTAAAAATATCTGCTAGATATATCATTTTCTGAATCCAAACTGCATCATTTAATTGAGGTGCATGTTCAGATAAGAAAATTCTTATTTCATCTTTTAATTCGCAAAATCTTGCTAACAGTTTTCCACGAGATAACCAACGGACGTCTGTGTGCAACAGTAGTGTTTTATATAAACTTCCCATATTTTCACACAATA